AAGGACATTGTCTTCTTCTCCCATGTCTTTACTTACATGTCTTAGATTTCCTTCATAACTGGAATTATTGAGACCATTTCTAAGGATGTTTATGCATCATCTCTATGATCTCTCCTGGTAATAACTTCCATAAGGAAAGTTACATGACTTGTTTACCTGAAACTTGCCTCCCTCAAGATTTTTGGGTCCCTAATATGTTAAAATATCCCTCTTTGACCATATCTTCTGCAGTGTGATTTGGCTGTTGCTTCTTGGGAACAAGAAGTTGACCTTTTTTTATTAAGAGCTCATTGTACAAAACGTATTTGTACAAAGTAATCAAAGAAGCAGAAACAAATTTACTTGGCTATGCTGATTAGCCTTTCTTCTAGGGCTACCAAGTGAGACAGAAGTTTGTGGGAGAAATACTACCAAATTTAGAGACAGCGGGGAGCTAGCAAAAGTCAGCCAACAATGAATTAACTGAAACCTATCCTGTTTTGAAATTAGAATATGCTTTCAAGTGTGAACGACTAATGGATTTCTCAGTTTGTCTAGAAGCCATTCTAAATTATATTGATAAAAGAGAAGACATAATCTTGAAAACTTTATCAAAATTAACAAAAAGTACACAAACTAATTTAAATGAAGTTTAGAAAATGGAGAATCAGGGGGTAGCCAGTGTGTCTCAACCCCCATGCAATAAAAAAGTTACCGAGTCTCATCCTAAAGTTGACAAAGGCCAGTTATGAGACCAGTCTGATTGCTTAGCTACAACCCCAAAGAGCACCCTGCATCCTTTGCTCTAATTCTGATGTGGAAGATGGTCTCTAGAGTTTATCAACCAACGAGTGAGGGGAAGAACATCATCTAGATGATACCATTCCCTGTAAAATCACACACTGGCATTTTGCTTTTCAAATATGACTCTTCTGAGTTTGGTTAGTGCAACTCAGCGCTCACAAAAAAATCATTATCCCTCAATGAACTGACAAATTGAATTTTGGAGCCTGTGAAGCTGAGGCACAGTCCCTAGACCACGGTGACTTCACCTAGTGTCACCAGCGCAGCATGACAGAGCCAGCTGGCCCTGTGGATTCTGCTGCAGAAGAAGGGAGATGCTGGCATTCTCAGCAGCCGGCGACTCGGGGGCCGGCCCTCACCCTGCCTCTCATCCGGTCACACCGGGACCAGGCTTTAAGGAGAGGGAATTAGACATGAGTTTTGTTTGGGGGCTTTTTCAGGACAGATGCCCAGCAGAAGGGTTCTCAACGGTGACTGAGAGTTTCCATCTCCCCTAGAACCCTCAGTTCAATGAACTGACTTCAGCGAAGCAGCCGAGTCCTGGAGGCAATCTATTTGAGACTTCAGTTATGTTTCCAAGAAGCCAGCGGAGCCCTAGAAATATGCAGTGAATTATACAAAGAGAGAAAACTACCTCCTATTCATCACCATTTGATAGCCAGATCAATGCTTCTGCCGTTCAGCACGTGGATTCCTAACAGAGGCAGATGACAGTATCATTTTTAAAAAACATTTCCTCCTGATTAAAAAAAGAATATCACAATTCAAAAATGAATACCTTAATATCATCTAATACCAATCCATAGTCGGATTTTCCCAGTTGTTCAAAAAATATCCTTTGTAAATATTTATCCTAGCCAGGATCTAATTTAGGACATTACATTGCATCAAGTTGTTTGTTATACCCCTAAATCTCTTTTAATATAGAATGGTCCCTTTTTCTCATAACATTGACCTATCTGATAAAACAACTCACCTTCTGTATTTGTCTGCTTGATTCCTTGTGATCTTAGCTTCTCCCTTTATGTGTTATGTTTTGGGGAAACTGTAAGTTAGGTCTAAAGACTTGATTAGATTCAAGTTAAATGTTGAACAGAAAAAAAATGCATCCTGGGTAATTGTAAAGACTTCACGTTGCCCCAAACCACAAGACAATGCTGTCCTGGCATCAGTGGTATTAAAATCAAGCACTGGGTTAAAGTGGTGACCTGCTGATTTCTCCCATGTATGTTGCTCTTCTTGTGACCGGAAAGAAAGAATCTGAATGGTGGCTCTTTGGCACCATATGTCCTATTCCTCACCATCAACCATTTGTCTAATGATGTTATTAGCGATTGATCATTACTGACTGAATCAGTCATTTCCCTCTAGCATCTCCTCTTCCGTAGTCAGCAAGTCTTATACTTAGTCGGATTACTAGTTATGGTGTGAAACTAGCTATTCATATCTTGATCCATAATTCCCTCATCTGTAAAAGCGGAGATAAAAATAGAACCCATCCACCCGGCATTGGCAGAATTGCCTGAGATAACTACTTATACATGCTTCGCCCGGTGCCTGGTGGCGTGTAGGATACAGTAAATAAGAAAAAGCACTGGCTTTTGGTTATCGTGCTTTTTCTTGTTTTGGTGGTGACGGGTTCCACAGCATTAGCCATTATCCTCATGTCCCTAAGGCAAAAACAAAACAAAAACAAAAACAACTCATGATGTCTCTGCAAAGGAGTCAAGGCAGTTAGACTTTGGAAGAAAATTAGCTTGTGTCATTTAAAACAACAAAACAAAACAAAACTGGAATTTGTTTTGAATAGAGACTGCTCAGATCATTGTTTCCAAGATGTATTCTAAAAGCCAGGAGAAGGATTCATTGTTAAAATAATGTCTAGGAACTTCTCACTCTTTTCCTCTCTAGGAGTCTCGTTGTGCATATTATTCAGGTAAAGGTTCAGGAAAGCATCTCAGGGGAGAAAAACCTGCTTAACTTTGGTTATTTATTTACCTAAGGAGCTAGTTCCTCACCCTCACTCCTGCCTTTGTTATACCAAGTAATACACACAAACATTACATTGTGCTGCCTGAGGTTCTCCCAAAGGCTTATTTGAAGAGGGAGTCAGACTGATAAGTTGACCAGGCACCCCCCTCTCTGGGAAGAGTAGGGAGGTGTGGGAGGCGTCTGTCACTGGCCTTTGGATCCTGGAAAACCATACAAGCCAGAGGAGTTCTCCAGAAGTTCAATTCTTTGTTGGAGCAGACAAGGCAGAAGTTGGGGACCTGGCAGTAATCTAACAGCTAGACTCTCTTTCCGAGGTCCCAAAGGACCTCAGAAGCTGCTCCCTAGACATGTCCTACAACCCCTGGGACATGCCCAGGCTGAACAGGAGTAAGTCCCTTTGTGAATGGATATATAGAGACTGAAGGGTGTGAAGTGTATTAGGGTTCAGAGGAAGAGCAAAGAGTCAATGTCTTAGTGCTACGTATTCCCCATAATACCTGGGAATATACCTTAACTTCTCTGAACCTCAGTTTCTTCATGTCTATAATAGATACAATTAGCTCTAATGGTTGTACAGCTATCATTAGATATTTACAAGCATTTAAAAAGTATGTAGTGCTATATAAATGCTCATTAATATAATTTTTAATATTAAGGGTATTCTTGACCTACATGGCCTCCTATTCGATGGGTCCACTAGTCATTCTGTTTTCATTCAGCTTCTTTAGTGTTTATTGAGCATTTACCATTACCAGGCCCTGAGTTGTAGGCTATGGAATAAAGCAGATTCAGTCCCTGACTTCATGGAGCTTGCATTCCAGTGTAGGAGACATACAATTAACACATAGGTGCCTTACAAATATATAATTATAGTCTCCTCCTCCCAGGTACTGATGTCATATTTTTTAAATAAACACATTGCTGATAATCTAGTATAAATAAATCACTTTGAAAATAATATCCACAGAAGGATGTGTTGAAATGATCTGTCCGTTTGAGTAAAGAATAAGATTATTAATGTAGAACTCAAAGAGACCTTAGGAATAATTTATCTTGGCTCGGCACCTGTGGCTCAAGTGGCTAAGGCATCAGCCACATATACCTAAGGTGGCAGGTTCGAATCCAGCCGAGAACCACCAAACAACAATGATGGCTGCAACCAAAAAATAGCCAGGCGTTATGGCGGGTACCTGTGGTCCCAGCTACTTGGGAGGTGGAGGCAGGAGACTTGCTTGAGCCCAGGAGTTGGAGGTTGCTGTGAGCTGTGAAGCCACAGCACTCTACCCAGGGGGATAGCTTGAGCTCCGTCTCAAAAAAAAAAAAAAGGAATAATTTATCTCAATCCCCTCATTTTATAGATGAGAAAAACTAGGACTCAGAATACTATAGAAGTTTACCCACAGTGTGTGTGTACATGTGTGATCACGGCTATTGAGGCAGGGGCAGACACAGATTCCCCTTTTCTATCAATGCTTTCCACTCTGCTGGGTGCCATCTATTTTAACATATTGTGCAAAAGTGTGTTATACGATGTGTTCCAATTACTAGAAATTAGGGATTCAGCACAACTGGTTTTTCCAAACTTTGTTTCACAAAACAATATTTTACTAGATGTAAGTAGGTTATCACCTTACGCTTCTTGGTCAAATTACATATGGATACCTGCACTCTCCCTGCATCTCTGCTTTAGACATCTGTGAATGTTTGTTGTGATTGTCAAAGATAATTCCTGTAGTAAAGAAACCTCTTAAACTATGTACAATCCAGAGTTTCCCGAAGTTATTTGACTGCAGTATCCATTTTAAATTCTTTAACCATGTCCAGTCTGAATCAAAAATTGTATAAAAATAAATAAAATAAGTTGTTGAACATGGATGTGATTGATGTGCTGTGCAGGAGGAGGGTGGCCCCGGCCCCAACACGACTGGCTTCTTGGTTTCTTGGCAATAGTACTCACTAAACCACATTCAACCACACAACGTTAAAAAGGGCAGTTCCTGGGTCTCAGAACTCAGGCAGACTGTGAGTATGTAGTGGCATTTAGGCACAACACCTAGTAGGATCCATTTCCTTAAGTTGACGATGACCTTATAACCAAGAAGTAGAATGAGAAACAAGGAAAGCTCAAAGAGTATGTTATGAAAGCAAGGGACCCTCTTTAAGGTTTTAAACAATTATTATTTCCAAGCCTTTTAAAACTTGTTATTGCTATTGTTATTTTTTAGGCATTCACAAGCTCAGAGTTCTCCGAAAGGGTGTGGTATCTTCACAGGACACGCAAAGAAGGTAGCTGGACATGTTGATGCCAACGTAAATGTGTATCCTTCCTTCATACCCATCCAAGTCCATGGGCAGGAAGCCTGTCTGTGCTGCTTGGTTGGGCCATCCAAACTTGAAACTGTTAGTGATATTTTAAAGTCTTTGAGACAAAAGCCTGGCTCGCTAAAGAGCTTTGGTTCAGTAGAGAGGCAGGGAGGTACAGTGGAGAGAGAATCAAAAGCCTGGAAATTTGCTGCTGAGAATAAATGTTAGCTGCTCCCTGAGGTGATTTGTCTGTGCACTCCACTCTCTACAGATGTTAGAGCCTCTTTTTGAGTAAGGACCCGAGGTTCTTTGGTAGCACTTTGATATCCTGCTCGAATTCAATATGTGAAATGGAGGCGTCTCTCTGTGACTTGGAGCCCACAGCAGGCTTTGAAGTCTGATCCAATTTTTGCTGCCTACTATTTGATGTTGAAAGGATGAAATGAAGAAAATGTACAGTTTTTGCCAGTAACTCTGCTGAGCATATGTAAGATTAAAAAAACAAAATCCTTTGGATGATGTACTTAGAAATGTTAAGTAGATTAATACCTTCCTACAGGTTTTCTTTTTTCTTTCTTAAGGATAAAAATTAAGCATAGGTGCAAATCAATGCCTAGCTGTTTTTATATTTGGGACTATAATTAAATTAAGAGGGAGGCTGGGGTGACTTCTTGAGAGGAAGAAATAAATGAATGAAGCAAAAGGTGTTGAGACCTTGCTTCTCTAATGGCCCCAAGAAAAGGACCTCCACTAAATTGTGTGCAAGACGGGAACCACTTGTGAATGACTCCAAAATACTCAGCCTCTTCCCCTTACAGTCAGGGTTAAGGGTCCCTTAGCTAAATGGAAGCCCACGTCCTTAAGGCTGCTTTATCAAAGCCTAAGAATAATATTTCTTTTCCTGGGTCTTTTTGAAGCATTCAGTTTCTGGGACTGATTCACTGTCTTCTCGGACATGCCATCCTGCTCCAGAGCGGCAAGGACAGGGTCCCTGGGGAGCCTCTGGAAAACCTGGTAAGGTGAACAGTTTGAATTGCATGCTGCTTCTACTGTTTGCATGTTTGTATACTTGTTAAGGCATTGTTTGGCCAGAACTGTCTGGAAGGCAGGACTATGGTAAGACCTAATGTTAATGGAGGTCAGGTTTGGGAAGCCATGTAGGCAGATATAAACCCTGTGTGCAGGGTAGCAGTTTATACCCGACCCATGCCACTCAAGTTTACCTTTCTAAGGGAAGATAATAAATAGCAGAGACCATTCGTTTCTCTTTACTTGTAAGAACCTTAAATTAGCAAACTGTTCCAAAACTTTATTTTATTAAAAGAAAGAGAAATAGCTGACCAGTTTTTAGTGAAGCAGATCATTCAGGGTCAAAATTTAGGGCTTGATGAAGAATGTGGATTTAGAGAATAGTTCTGCCCTTTTGGCAACATGATCATTCTCTCAGCAAAAATACAGACATCTTGCCATATGCCTTTGGGAAATGACTATTTCTGGCCCCTGTTCTAAATGTCTCGCTACAGAATATGATAAAAGTCAGATTCAGGTTTGTGTGCAGCTATAGTCAGTACTTCTGCGAGATAAAATAGAAACATGATTGTAAGAAATATTTACAGTCCAGAAGATACTAAGGACAAGGTGAACCATTCCAAAAAAAGAAACCTTTTCATTTTAATATGCCAATGTTACACTTAGTATCAACCTCATCTATTTCTCTGAAATAGGCAATAATTTCTCTGATCTCTTCGCATTTCTCTTTGGCCTGCTTTTCAGTGATGAGGTAGTACACTACAAGGTGGGAAAAGAGTAATAACTGTGTTATAACCTTCAGTTTATATGGAACTTAAACTCTTGGAAAGAGGCAAGAGAAGATGATTCCATTATAGCAGAAGCCTTTAAATGGACGTGTTGCAAATGATAAACCTGTCAAGGAAATGTGTTCCTCACAGCCAGAATAGTATTCACAAATAAGGCCACATGGAGGTAGGGGTAGGCGAAGTACTAAAAAGAGGTAAATTAAGAGGAAAGATGGTGTGATAGAGCGGAATCCATTATGCAGTGATTTGGTTGGTACTTTTCTCTATCCAAACAGATAGAGACAGACAATCTCTATCTTTTAATTGGCATATTTAGAACATTTACATTTAATATGATTATTGATATGTTTTAGTTTAAATCTGTCATCTTGTTGTTTTCTATGCATCCCTTTTGGTCTTTTTTCTTTTGGCATTCTACTTGAAAATAGATGAAATTCCTAAAAAGAAAAATTTTAAGGATGGATGAGTAGTTAAACCATACAGACAGGTTCTGGAGTTGGACATGCCTTTATTGAAACCTCCACTCTCCTATGTTAATCAAGTTACATAACAACTGCTTACCTCAGTACTTGCACATATAAAATGAAGAAAGTAGTTCATAACTGAGAGGGTTTTACTGAGGATTAAATGAGCTAGTATAAGTAAAAGACATGTCTGGCTCATAGCAAGGGTTCAGTAAATGTCAGATACTGTTGTGGTAGTTATTGATATTGTATAAATACAAAAATTAAATAGGTGCAGAAATAAAGTCCTTTCTGTTAGGCATTAAGTTTTGGTGGGATAGTTCAGGAGCAATAAAAGCATATTACATTTTAAATTAATAACTATTAAAGAGAAAGAGACTTGTTGGATTACAGTCATCTTTCCTAGTCTTTAGGAAAGTATTTCCAAAAGCCTAACTTATTAATAAGTTACACACCTGATTTGCTATAAATGGTTCATATGCACTTTCTTCTTATAATTCTCCCTTCCTTTCAGTCTAAATGATTTTCTATTAGGTCAGC